TGTTTGTTTTTAGCCAGGGTTTCACTCTGCTCTGTTGCATGGGCTAGAGTGCAGTGATATGATCATATAGCTCACTGCAACCTCAAACTGGTAGGCTCAGGCTATCCTTTTGCCTCAGACTCCTGAGTGGTTAGCACTACAGGTGTGTGTTACCACACCCAGCTAATTTTTAATTCTTTTGTAGAGATAAGGTCACACAGTGTTGCCCAGGATGGTCTTGAACTCCTGACCTCAAGTGATCCTCCTGTCTCTGCCTCTCAAAGTGCTAGGATTACAGTTATAAGCCACTGTGCCCAGTCCAGACCTTAATATTTTTAGTGGTAGAATCCACACACAGTGAAATGAACAAATGTTAAAAGTACCATTCCATGAATTTTGACCAAAGCATACACTTGTATTATCCTTCAAGATAAGAAACAGATGACCATCCCTATCAATGTATGAAACATTTCTATTACCCTAGAGAAGTCCTATGTACCTCTTTCTTCTATGATAATTCCTTAGTTGTAACCCTTGCTCTGATTTTTCCCTATAGCTCATTTTAGTTTTGCACTTAGCCTAATATCTCTTACTCCAGTTTCTTCATACTCAAATAGTTGATTTTTCACACTTCCTAGAATATCATAACACTTCTATAGTAAAAAGCAAGCAAATAGTCAAAATAATATAAGCAAAAAGTAACTGACTTCCCATTAATCAATGGGACCATCAAGACATTTAATTCCAGTATAATTCACCCCCAAACTTACTTTCTTGCCTTATTATAGCATTCCTCATACTTTCCATTGATTCTATAATTGCACCAAAATATCTCATTCTCTAATAAGCCACAAATATTATACTGTTATCTTTGGTCATACAGTGTTTAATAGATTTAATAGTTACAGTTTTGGTTATATGAATATCCATGACATCCAGAAAAATTAAATATAGCTGAATGATAGATTTGAATCTCAAGTCCTGCAAAATTGGTGTGGGGAAGCCTGTACTATAGGGAGTGAATGAGCACAACCAGCCACATGCATCTGCCTCTTAATGTAATGACCCTTGCTATTAATCAAATACACAATTTAGTCATACTAAGATTTTAAAGAGATCACTTAATTTTTTCACTGTGTTTTAAAGAGGAAATTGTAAGCTATAAGGAAACACAACTTAGAAGATTTATAGCCTCAGGATTTATTCTTCACATATATGAATGTTCTATCCTAGTTACTTTTCTGTGCTGCAAGACATAAGAATGTAAACTTTTATTCTTATTCTACATTTTTTAGTTTCTACCATAGCCTTTTATGCCTTTTCTTAATTACCTATTTACATGTTAATTCTTCCTTACAAATTAAGGAAAATGAAGATGCGTCCCACATACTTGGAATGCTATAGATTGCTTTTCAGAATATACAATTGAACTGTTTCTATGCAAGATAAAAAGGAATTTTTGAGAGACTATGATGAATTGGTTATATACAGCAATTCTACTATTTAATATATTAAAAATGTATGGGCATAATTCTTCATTTTTCTTTCATCTATTTTAAATATCTTTTCCTTTATACTACCTTGTGCACTACATTCACTCACAACCAAAAACAAAATAGGAAAGTATAAATTTTTTCCCTCGTACCATTGATATACAGTTAATTATATTTAAGGAATAACAAAAGATTGGACATTGGTCTTCAAATATCTTTCTTATCTCTGAAGATACTTTTCAAAGTGACAGTGAACTCTGCCTAGTTCTGAGAGATTCATAGTTTTAATAAATGTACAGCACGTTAGTGAGACTCATAAGAAAATATAAACTGATTTGTAAAATCACATCAGTACTGTTTTGTTTTGTTTTGTTTTTTTGAGACAGAGTCTCATCATGATGCCCTCAGTAGAGTGCCTTGGTGGCAAAGCTCACAGCAACCTCAAACTCTTGGTCTCAAACGATTCTCTTGCCTCAGCCTCCTAAGTAGCTGGGACTACAGGCACCCACCACAACACCCTACTTTTTTTTGTTGCAGTGGTCATTGTTGTTTAGCTGGCCCAGGCCAGGTTCAAACCTGCCAGCTGGTGTATGTGGCTGTATGTGGTGGGTGCCCTACCTACTGAGCTATGAGTACTGCCCCATGTCAGTACTAGATAGATAAACTCCCCCAAAGTAAGCTAAGCTGTTTTAGAAATGATAATAATTATTTTTTTTTGAGACAGAGCCTCAAGCTATCCCCCTGGGTAGAGTCCTGTGGCATCATAGCTCACAGCAATCTCCAACTCCTGAGCTCAAGTGAGTCTTCTGCCTCAGCCTTCCAAATAGCTGGACCACAGGCTCCCGCCACAATGCCTGGCTGTTTTGTGGTTGCAGCCATCATTGTTGTTTGGTGGGCCCGGGCTGGATTTGAACCCGCCACCTTAGGTGTATGTGGCTGGCGCCTTAGCCACTTGAGACACAGGCGCTGAGCTGAAATGATAATAATTTTAAAAAATCTATTAAATAATTTATAAGGTGAACCATACATGAGCTCATACTATCCACAGACAGTATTTACATGAAATCAGGAAATATAAGCTAGAATCTCAGAGGCTTAACATACCCAAAATTTATGTCTAACTATGAATGGGTCAAGGGTAGTTTAGCAGGGGATCTGCACATAGTTAGGAACATAGGCTAATAGCTCCAAACGGAAATGTTTCCATGACCTCTCAGAATGAAGGATTATAGGGAATCATGCAGTGGCTTTCATTGATTCCAGTTGGAGTAGGGACACAGCTCTTTCCCTGAGCTTTGATTAGATAAATCAAGTCAAAAAGACATACTCAACTTTAAAGGGTACAAGGTAGTGCTAACCTGTCATGTGCCTGAAAGGAGAAATGTAGCACAATGTAAATAGCTTTCATGACCACTTCACTACCTTGGCACTTGATGATAAGCTAGTTTTGCACAAGCCTGGGGTTTTAAATTTTTTTTATTTATTTTGACATCTTTGGCTAGGATTTATCATCCCTAAAAAACAACAGTGGACTTACTATGTCTGTTGGTGTTGGGTGGGGGTGAGGAGGAGGAATTTCAGCCCTTTCATTATTGGAAGTAACTTCTACCTGTCACACTTGGTTTGCTTAGCTTCCCCTATCTTTATTAACTGAACAAGGATTGCTAACCTCATGATCTACCACATTACTTGAGTAATAATAATGAATTGATAGTGTCATTGTACCTGAAAAGCTACAGGCTTCTTTTTCCCCTTTTTTATGCATTCCTTCATCATCCTAAGATATGAAATGGATCTATCAGGTCCACCTTGGTGCTGTGTTATATTTAGGCTTTTCTTTTCTGGATTCCTTGAGGTTCCATAGATAAGGGAACTCACACTTTACATTGATGCCTGGTAGTTTCTTGATCTTTTCTCCACTGGTGCACTTTATAATGCTAATCCTATAATTTAGGTTCTAGAAGAGGTCATGTTTTGTCCTTGAATCTATATGATGTTTAATTTGTTTCTTTAATAGAATGCTCACACAGTATATCTAACATCTACAGTATTTGTATATAATGGTCATATAGATGTTGTGTATATATCTGTATATACACAGTATTTACAGGTGTTGGGAAAATGGATATGAATATAATAATGCCCAATGAGAGACTTGGACTTGATTGGCACCTAGAGGGTGGTGAATAGTGAAGATTGGACAATTTACCACTGGAAAAAAATTGTAGATAGAGAGATAATCAGTGGGCAAAAGATGAAACAAGGGATTCTTGAATATGTTTCTGTTTTCAATTTGTACCAGTTATAGGGAATATTAGCCTACTCTCCACGGCTGTGTCTGCTGATTAGAATTCTGAAAAATACTGGAAAAGAGAAGTACAGTGTCCTATAAAAGCCATAATGGTGAGAACTAAGAGAAGAGAGCATGAACAACTCAAGCTAGTCAAAAAAAAAAAAAAAAGGAAGTGATAGTCAACAGCTTTTATATAGTGTTCATTACGTGCCAGGTACTGTTCTAAACTGCATGTATCTTCACCAAACCTTTGCAACAGATTGGAGCAGATCAAGGTTAAGTAACTTGACAAGCTAGTAAGAATTAAGGCCAGAATTAAGAGTGGAGTTTTTACCCAGGTAGTTTGGCTTCAATATCTCTGATCTCAGTATCACTGCTTTGTTCTAGCAAACTAGTTCCGTAGTTTTCGGAGTTTGGTTGAGATCATGATGATCTCTAAAAAGTATTGTAACTTCAGCTTTAGTATTTCCAGCCTTGTCTTAGTAGCATCTAATATATACTACATTATCTTGTTTCTGTTTTTAGTACAGTCGTACCTCAGTAACTGGGGGGGTTTGGTTCCAGGACCTCAGTGGATACAAAATCTGTAGATGTGGAAGTCTCTGAAATAAAATGGTGTAGTACTTGTTTATAGCGTATATACTTCCTCCTATATACTTTAAATCATCTCTGGATAAAATACCTAATACAAGATAAATGCTATGTGTAGTTGTTATACCGTATTTTTATTGGTGTGACTTTCTGTTTGTGTACTATGTATTGTTTGTATTCATTTGTTTATTTTAAATATTTTTCATCCATGATTGGCTGAATCTGTGGATTTGGAATCTGCCAGTCTGGAGGTACAAATGTATGGTAGGTTATGATTTCTTATTGTTATACTAATATTAACCAAACAGGGCAGCGCCTGTGGCTCAAAGGAGTAGGGCACCAGCCCCATGTTCTGGAGTTGAAGGGCTCAAACCTGGTCCCAGCCAAAAACTGCAAAAAAAAAAAAAAAAAAAAATTAACCAAAACAAATGGAATGTTAAATATTCCCATTTACTAAATTAACTATTATTTATCGAGAGAACAGATTTTTAAACTATTATTAGTTGAAAAGTTTATAATGCAAGTTAGAAATGTTATGAGAATTTATAATAAAGATGCCCTATGATATAGCTATCTAAATGTTTAATCTTTCTGACACCAGTTTCTCATCAGTAATATGGTGTCTACATTAAGGAAAAGTTGTGTGCCCCCTTTGCACTTTGCCAATTGGACTTATGCCTTAATTGGTGGGGGCAAAGGAAATATCCTTTTAAAACTCAGGCAAACTGGTGTTTGTCTTGTATCCTGTCAAAGGAAACAAATGGAGGGGAAAAAAAAGAAAAGTTGTGGAAATCAGACTTGGTATACATAGAACATTTCATGGTGTAATTTTGCTAACTATTTCCTCAATATGTGATATACTTCATTTAAAAATATTTATAAAAGTATAACTCTGTCTCAGCGCCTGTGGCTCAAGCGGCTAAGGCACCATCCACATACACCTGAGCTGGCGGGTTCAAATCCAGCCCAGGTCTGCCAAACAACAACGATGGCTGCAACCAAAAAATAGCCGGGTGTTGTGGCAGGCACCTGTAGTCCCAGCTACTTGGGAGGTGGAGGCAGGAGAATCACTTGAGCCCAGGAGTTGGAGGTTGCCGTGAACTACGATGTCATAGCACTCTACCCAGGGTGGCAACTAGGCTCAGTCTCAAAAAAAAAAAAAAATGTATAGCTCAGTTGAAACTTTTTTTTTTTTTGAGACAGAGTTTTAAGCTGTCATCCTAGGGACTACAAGTGCCTACCACAACACCCTGCTATTTTGTTGTTGTTGTTGTTGCAGTTGTCATTGTTTTAGCTGGCCTAGGCCAAGTTCGAACCTGCAAACCTCGGTGTATGTGGCTGGCGACCTACCCACTGAGCTACGGGTGCTGCCGAAACTTTTATTTTCTAACTACAAGGACCGCTATAAGGAAGAGAAACATTATTGTCTTGCCATTAATAGAACATTAAATTATCTTGCCTTCATTCACCCATAAAATCAAATCTAGTGTAAAATTTAAAACTTAGAATAATGATACCTTAGTGTCGAGTTTAGAATACTTTGAAATTTTTAGTTTGAGTATCCTAAAATTATGCATTTAGTTTGCAACACCACAAAATACACATAAACTTCTTTAATACATCCAAATTGTGAAGTTGGGCTAATATTAATTTAAAATAACATTTTATTGATAAGTTAAAGGAGAATAAAATTCTGAAAAATATCTCCCTAAAATAAGGAAAGAATAAAAGCACTGAAATAAAAATCTCTTCACATAATAGCCTATCATATATGAATAAAAAATAAAAATGCATGTGGACTTTAGAAGGCTAGGAAAATATTCCCATTCAGACATAAGCTGCTTATAAGGAACTGGGGAAGATTAAATAGAAGGTTTTATTTCATTTTAATCGTATATAATGTCTGTATGCATCTTAGCATTTTTTGCATTAATATTGAAGTATTAATTTGAGTGAATTGTGAAAACATTTACTGAACCATAACTATGTTATGTTCAGAAGATATAAAAAAGAAATGGTTACTACCTATAAGGCAGATCACAACCTAGCAAGGAAGAACGAAACAGAAAAATCAATAACTTCAAGTGCAAGGTAAAATTTTACTATGGAGGCTTGGCACCTGTAGCTCAGCGGCTAAGGCACCAGCCACATACACCAAGGCTGGCGGGTTCAAATCCAGCCTGGGCCTGCCACACAACAGTGGCAATTACAACCAAAAAATAGCCAGGCATTGTGGCGGGTGCCTCTAATCTCAGCTACTCGGGAAGCTGAAGCAAGAGAATTGCTTAAGCCCAAGAGTTTGAGGTTGCTGTGAGCTGTGATGCCATGGCACTCTACCTAGGGTGACAAAGTGAGACTGTCTCTAAAAAGAAAACAGAAAAAGAAAATATTTAAAACTTGTTTGCTCATATTAGACTTACATAAATAATATTGTTTTAAATCTTTCTTGCTAAAATATGATTAAATATAGACTGCATGGTGATTGCCATAGGGAAGCTATTTTAACAAAACCACCTGTTCTGAGTCTTGATAAAAAATTAAGAATTAGAGTTGCTGATCTGACTTGTTAGAATTAGGTCATGACATGCAATAGCTGTTGGCGGTTAAGAACTTAGTAGGCAACTAACTACTGCTTCACTTCTTACATTTAAGTTTTTAATTCATTTTGAGTTAATTTTTTGTATATTCACTGTTGGTGGGAATGTAAATTAGTACAGTCATTATAGAAAACAGTATGGAGGCTCAGCGCCTGTGGCTCAAGTGGCTAAGGCACCAGCCACATACACCTAAGGTGGTGGGTTCGAATCCAGCCCCAGCCGTCAAACAACAATGATGGCTACAACCAAAAAATAGCTGGGCATTGTGGTGGGCGCCTGTGGTCCCAGCTACTTGGGAGGCTGAGGAAGGAGACTCACTTGAGCTCAGGAGTTGGAGGTTGCTGTGAGCTGTAATGCCACAGCACTCTACCCAGGGGAACAGCTTGAGGCTCTGTCTCAAAAAAAAAAAAGAAAAGAAAGAAAACAGTATGGAGGGGCCTCAAAAAATTTTAAATAGAACTACACTGTGATCCAGCAATCCCACTACTGGGCATACACATCTAAAGGAAATAAAATCGGCATGTCAAAGAGATAACTGCATTCTTATGTTCATGGCAGCTGTTGTAGAATAATCATAATAGCCAAGATAGAGAATAAACCTAAGGGTTTATTGGTGGCTAAATGTATGAAGGAAATACGGTTTATATACACAACAGAGTACTACTCAGCCTTAAAAAGGATGAAAATCCTGGCTTGGCACTTGTAGCACAGTGGTTATGGTGCCAGCCGCATACATCAAGGCTGGCAGGCTTGAACCTAGCCCATGTCTGCTAAACAACAATAACAACTCCAACAAAAAATAGCCAGGCATTATGGTGGGCACCTGTAGTCCCAGCTACTTGGGAGCTGAGGCAAGAGGATCACTTAAGCCCAAAGAGTTTGAGGTTGCTGTGAGCTGTGATGCTACGGCACTTTATCAAGGGCAACATAGTGAGTCTCTGTCTCAAAAAGCAAACAGAAAAAAAAAAGACAGAAAAAGTGAAAAACAGATAAATAAGCTGAGGGAGATGGAATACAAACAGGTTAGCTAATTTACTTTTAAACCAGCTTCTAAATTCCTTATCTGAGCAGTTCCTATCTTTTCTTAGAAGCCTGGCCTGTAGGGGATATAGCTTGCAAACTCCTCTGCTGGGTGTGGAAACACTCTGAAGAAGGAATGGCTGCAGAGGAAGCTGCATTCAAGGCCTGAGTAGAAATATTAACCAGGCCAACCCCTTGCCCAGTCAATAGTCAAAGCAAATACCCAGGGTGGAGATTTATGTTTGGCCAGGGCAGAGATCAAGGGAACAGCTTAAGCTCTGAAATATGGGCAGGAGGGATTGTATACCCCTTTATCACAGAGGAAGATGCCTCTGAGCGGAGAGCAGAAGAAAATTCTTCTGTCCCATGGATTCCTCAGAAGAGACTGACACTGGCATCTACTCCACAGAGGATTAAAGGGGATTAACGTCCCCTAAGGAATCTGTGTGTGACCACAGACAGGAGTGTGCCCCCACAAGTCTCAGGTTTCAAATTTCTCAAGATTGCTCTGACCCTTAAAGTTAATGATTATAGATAGAATAAGAACTAACAAGTTTATTCAGAGAAACTGCTGATGTTTTTGATCTTCCTCTGCTTACCCTCTGGGCTAATGAGAAAATACCCTTCAATAAAAGCTGAGTGGAACAAACATTCAGGGTCATTTCACTGAACCCCACAAGCTAGTGATGGCCCCCTGTGTTTCCCACCTTTGCAGACTATATTCTGTGCGTCCTGTCTCTTTATCTCCCACTGTTTCTAACTTTTCTTTCCTTTTCTTTCTTTCTTTCTTTTTTTTTTTTTTTTTTTGAGACAGAGTCTCAGTATATTGTCCTTGGTAGAGTGCCATAGCATCACAGCTCACAGCAACCTCCAACTCCTGGGTGTAAGAGATTCTCCTGCCTCAGCCTCCCAAGTAGTTGGGACTACAGGTGCCTACCACAGTGCCTGGCTATTTTTTAGATGTAGTTGTCATTGTTGTTTGGCAGACCTGGGCTGGATTCAAACCCACCAGCTCTGGTGTATGTGGCTGGTGCCTTAGCCACTTACAGAGCTACAGGCACCAAGCCTGACTTTACTTTTCTTAAGTCAATCACTGCCAGTTCCACAGGTCTTAAAGGACCCTGCCCCTGGGATGGAACTCCAGCAAGCAGAACCCTATCTCTCCTACAAATAGAAAAATTAGTTGGACATTGTGGTAGGTACCTTTAGTCCCAGATACTCAAGATGCTGAGGCAAGAGGGTTGTTTGAATCCAGGAGTTTGAGGTTGCTATGAACTAGGCTAATGCCAGGGCACTCTACCCAGGACAACAGAGTGAGATCTTGTCTCAAAAAAAAAAAAATAGTGAACTTACAGAAACAGAGAGTAGAATAGTAGTTACCAGGGATTGTTTCAAGAGCACGTGTTCCTTGAAGAGTACAAAATTTCAGTTAAACAGGAGGAATAAGTTCAAGAAACTCATTGTATGACGTGACTATTGCTATTAAGCATGTATTGTATGCCTGCAAATTGCTAGGGGAGTATATGTAGAAATATACTCATCAAGAAAAGAAATAATGGGCAGTGCCTGTGGCTCAGTGAGTAGGGCGCTGGTCCCATATACCGAGGGTGGCAGGTTCAAACCCAGCCCCAGCTGAACTGCAACAAAAAAATAGCTGGGTGCTATGGTGGGCACCTATAGTCCCTGCTACTCGGGAGGCTGAGGCAAGAGAATCACCTAAGCCCAGGAGCTGGAGGTTGCTGTGAGCTGTGTGACACCACAGCACTCTACCAAGGGTGATAAAGTGAGACTGTCTACAAAAAAAAAAAAAAAAAAGAAGAAGAAAAGAAATGGTAAGTATATTATGAACGTGAAGTGATGCATATGGTAATTAGTTTAGCCAGTCCACAATGTAAACATACTCCAAAACATTGTGCCATATTGTCATAAATATATACAATTTCTATTTGTCAATTAAAACAAAAAAGGATTCAGTAATAAAGTCAAAGAGAGTAATTACTTTAAAACTTTGTAGCATGTAATTGTAATTATCCATTTGTAATTATGTAAAGGCAACTGTTTTATGTGATATGGCTACAGGCAATGACTTAACAGCCATTCTTCTCCTCCTCTTCTTCTACTTTCACCTCCCTCCTCTTTTGTCTC